GGGACACAACCATGACTCACAAATCTGTCACTCCAAAAATATATGTCTAACGTACAATATCAGTATCAACACACTAAACACATGCTTCATGCCTCTGCCTCCCGCTGCTTCTCCCCCCTGCTGCAGTGACCAGCCAGGTGACTCTGTTCTCTCAGCCCCACCCCTTGCCTTGCCTTGTGGACCTTTACAGTTGACATTAGTGAACTCATTTCCCGTCATTAACAATGTCATTAACCGTGCAGGGTGATGGAAGACGGAGGGGCAACCAGAGAGATGGAGGGAGGTGGATAGGAGAGGTGGTGAGGGAGTTGGCAATCTGAACTGCTCGCGGAAAGGGGGAGGTGGGAGGTTGAACCAGGGAAGATGAAAAAAAAAAAGAAAAGTGACAAAAGAGATTCGGCTGAAGCAAATGATGCTGATGGACAAGAAAATGGCATCTTGAACTGAAAGAGACTGTTTTTTTGTTCCTGTATTTATGTCAAAACTACCCTCACCTTCCCCTCTAAATGGAGACGGAGTGTTCCCATGTGTGGCCTTTATGTTATGTACATTTTTGAGAGTAATATTAAAGAAATTACCATGCATAGTTGCAAAGTATTTTATTCTCAGCACAAACTGTTTACGTTCAGACCGCTTTATGCTCTAACTGTATAGTGTGGATAAAAAAAGAAGAAATTTAGTTGTTCGACTAGCATGGCAACAGACTCATGTGTACATAGTTTATCTAATTATGAAAGCTTATTACTGTATTTTCAGTATTGACTCGTTCACCGTTCTAAATGTTTTAGAGATAAAAAGGTTGTAATACCAAGCTACAGATTAAAATGATTAAAAACAAATAATAAACATAGCCGCCACATAGCTATTTCATTTATATGGTATATATTTGATTTATTTATTAATTCTATTTTGTACTTTTTTTGTTCAGTGAGAATTTTTGCCTCATACTGTTACTCTTATATGCTGAAATATTCTTTGAGTTCCTTATAACAGTGCATATCTTTAACACGTGGAAAAGGTTTTTGTCTGATGTCACGCAAAGTGTTGTATTACATTCATTTGACCTCATCTACTGATTTCAATGTTTTAAAGAAGAAGAAAAAAAGACAAATAAAACTATGCTTTGACATATTCTAGGTTTAATAATTAGGACCCAGCAAATGTATGGTCATAGGACTGCATATGTGTACATTGTGTTTTATTAAAATACATTTCATGTGACTGTATGAAGAAGCCTTTCATTATTGTCTATGGCTTTAATATATGTGGCTAAACTCCAGAACTGCCGTTTCCTTGTTTCACTTCAGTGTACAATTATGTGATCTCAAAAACATTTGTGAAATCCATCATGTCGCGCTGCATGACACAAGTGCTACCTCCAGCCAAAGGATTGGATATGGTCGATTGAGCCTTAACAGCATGACGGCACTGTTAAGGGTTTGTAATTCACTATGACGTATCCTCATGAATGGTAAAAACCAGAGCATACTTTGGTGGCTCATTCATTTCCAACATCATACTGTAATGCCCTAACATGTATTTGGCTGCGGCACGTGTCTTTCATCACACACACATATTCGATCACCTCTTTATGTGATGCACGTCCCACTTATTCACTTTTATGGTCCTCAAAACATCAAATAAACACATATAAAAGTCTTCTCTCAGCTAAATCTGCTTAGTACATGGGCAAAGAGAAATGTTTTAATGCAAGTCACGGCTAATTTAGCCTGAGATCCACACTGTATAATCATTGTCCCAAAAGAGAAAAAAAGCTGAATCTGGCAGACAGCTTATGGATGCACAGTAGCAGATGAATCACGTTGTGTCACATATATATCACCCTGGAAGACACAGACCACAGTCTTCCTGCTCTGGTTAACCCCCCTGAAATCACACATGATATTTCCATAGGGAGGCTGTGAGTGTTGAAATACCTTAGTCTTTATATGCCCCATGTCCATCTTGAGGCCTAGTACACAGAGGTTTTAAGTGCCTGAACATCTTTCACAGGTGTTCGAAGTGGCACAGCATATTTCACACAGGAGGCTATTCATTTTCACAGCTTAACACTTCCACCCAGTGACATTTGCGGTATGGAGCCCCGGAACTGACAAAATGTGGTAAAAAGGAAAAAAATACAATTGGATACATCATAAATAATATGCTATATAGCTGAAGCTAACAATGCACGAGCCAGTGCATGTAATGATTATCATCCATATAGTGCGTGCTGTTCTAGCATTAGCTAAAGTATTTTAGCCAGCAAGACGTAATGACATATGAGAAAAGACACATTAAAATGTCAAGGATGACTCAATAAAGTCGACTTTTCTTTGTCCTTGATGAAGACAAGAGCACGTCTCTTGTCTTCAAGAGCACGTCTCTTAAGCCATTTTATGAGGATAGTGTGTGAACTTCTAAGTATCTATAGCTAGGTAACTTTTTTTTGCGTTGCGACTAAAATGCTTTTGCTACTGTTATGCTCAGTGTGTAGCAGTGTTTTCAATCGGACATTGGTGAGGAAAAGAATGCCGTGTGGGGAAAATAGCTTCACTAAATGATTAATGACATTTAGACATCTAGACAACATTTAGAGTGGGAAAAATTAGTGAGTAAGCCTACATTTTATTTTTTTAACAAGCCGAATGGTTATTAAGGGGAAAAAAACGTTTTGCTTGTCTTCAGTTACATTTTTTGGCTAGCTATTTGATCAAATTTTGTCAGTTTCAGGGCTCCATATTGAGATACATAATTGTCATAAAATTGCACGTTCTCTGCAAAGTGAGGTTAATCAACCACTCTGTGTAGTCGGGTGAACCAGTGAATGAAGCAAAGCAAAAATGACTGTTGCAGAGAATGAAATAAGGCGTAGATGTAGTGAGTTGTTTTTAAAGACATCTGCTGCTGGTTACAAGTTAATGAACGATTCACAGATGTCATCCCCTGGGCCAGACTATCACTGCTCCAGACTGGGGGATTAAACCTAAAGGCTTACGGAGAGGAACTGCACTGAAGTGGATTCATTAAGCACAAGACCACCACTACAGCACACATTGCAGCGTCTACAACGGAAAACAAGGGGTACAAAGAGAATCACATGGCACATTTTGGAGGAATGGGTCCCTTTATTTTCCCTCACCTTTCTCCTTTGACATCAATCCATTTCGCTTTTTTTCCTACTGCAGCGGGAAACAGAACACTGATGGTATTCTCAGTGTTGTTAAGAGGGTTAGCAGTCATCCGCACATCAGAAGGAATGGTCCTCCCTGTGTAAACCACTTCTGTAAACTGTGTGTGTGCGCATGCATGCTTATGTGTGTGTGTGTATGTGTTTTAATGTTTGTGCTCAATGTGGTTAGGTGGCTGAGACTGAAGCTCCCTTTTAATCTGACAGAGAACATTTTCATTAGTTCTGTTGGGTCCTATTATTAAAGCCCGCTTCAAAGGCACAACAAGTGAAACCACTAACAGGAAATGACCCAGTGGTCTCCACACTGTATAGATCACTGATAGCAATCTGTGCTTTTAAAGCAGGTTGTTATGGCACATAAATGCATCTATTGTATACACTGTATGTAGCTCAGAGGGACAGTGAGAGGATAAGGGGAGGGGCTCGGGGACCTATGCTCTACATTCACATACTGTAGCCTACTGTGAGAAGTGCAGTTGTGGCACATGTGACACATTCGTTCCAATGCAGATGGCAGAAATGGAAGTTATGACATTGGTGGGGCAAATAAGAATGCCCGGGATAATAAATGTTGTAATAATTTGCTGTTTTTAATAACTGTATAATGAGCCATCGCTTGCCCTTAGAGTTGAGGGAAATCTGGAATCATTAATCTTCATATGGGTTAGCCATGGTGTTTGGCACAGGCCGAAACAGCAACGAGTAGGAACATAGTGGTGTCGAAGGACAAGCACATCTTAATATTTTGAACAAGTTTGCCATATGTTAGCCATCATGGTGTGTACAAGCCCACTAAATGGTGGCATTAATGGGTGACTTTTATTACTAAACTCACCCCTAATTGCAAAAATGCAATCCAAAGTCAACTCTCAATACAGATTTTGGCTTCATTTGGAGTTGCTAGGTAACAAGTTAATCCCAAAAATAAATATGTTCTTCAATAAAAGCTAATTGTCTGTGACAGTTTTTCGCTTTGCTGCAGAGACAGGAAGGAAATTGTAAAAAGACTCTGAGCGGCACTGGAAGTACATGATGATCACAGTTATTTAGCCCCTCCGCATCTGCCTCACCTGCTGCACAGAAAGTGAAAAAGATTCATGTTCCTAATGTTCACCTGGTGTATTAATGTTAATCTTTCTCATTCTTGGACTTGGAATATTTATGAGTCACTTGCTGTGGTAGTGTTTCTGCAGCTAGGCTTCATAACAGCAGGTGCAGTGAGGGACATGGGACTTTTTTATCACCATCCATTACATGGAACAGACAGGCGTTTCTATACCGGTGTGGTGTTTCCTATGGGTGTTGTAAGTATTCCTGGCTTATTTAACCCCACGTTCCTCTGCAATGTATTACTTTTTCTTTTACATCAGGATTCAAACACAACACAAAGCCATTGTCCCTGTTCACTTGAGGGGAATATATGCAGAGCAGCTCTGTCCTCGCTCTCAGGATATGACACGCAAGGGCTTTATGACTTGATCTGAATCATACTGTGCACCTTAAAAGCATTACAGGCTGGGCAAATATTTCCTCTGACTGGTGCTCTGAGAGCCATGGGCACAACCATTATATTGGGCTCAAGAGCCAGCTGGTGAGGACAAATCCACAAGGATTCCTATTTTCCCCCTCCTGACTCTCTGGCAGCCCCGCTCCATTCATTCAATTTTTATATGTGCCTAGTAGCCGTGTTACTACCGGTTTCAAGGGAGAATTAATCAAAAACAGGTCTTATTAAAGTATATTCAGACCAGTTGAATAGGATATAATGTGCTCAGTAAGGGCCCAGAAGGGTTGTATCCGAACCATAGCTGACACTTGTGGCTTCTAGGAGTGAGGCTGTGTTATTCTGTAGTGGCATTGCGCAGGTTCCAGGGGGGCTATTCACTTGAGCCAAGTGTTGCATTGTGGGTAAGCAGATATTAAGTGGGTATGAGTACAGCAGGGGGTAAAGGAGGGTCTCATTGTCCAGGAATGTTTATCTCCCCCTCCTCCCGCCTTCATTCAGGGCCGGATTATGCAGCGCCATGGTGCAGAAGCAACCTTTGGCCCCTACTTGGAGGGTCTGTGGAGGAAATATTCATTCATACATATACACATGTACAAACAGGCATTATCCTCCTAATAAGAGGCCAGGTCAATTGCTCCCTCAAGGTATTGCGAGTAGGTGGAAGTGGAGCCGCTGTAGCAGGGTGTTGTACCTTAGTCTCACTCGCTGGGCTGGGCTCTCTGGGAAGACTGGAGCCGGTGATGCTCCCAGTATGCGCAACACAGTCATCATCCTCAGCACAACACATTTTATTGGGCAGTGTGTGGGTTGTAGAAATGTGTTTAATCAACTCAGCTGTAGGGGAGGTCTTGACCTCATGTCAGTGGTTCCCAGCCGTGATTGTGTATGTGTGTGTGTGTGTGTGTGTGTGTCTGTGTGTATGAATGGCTCCCAGCCTTTGCTGTGGAGTGTGACCTGCGGTGGAGCCTCTGGTTCACACTCTGCTCTCTGCTGTTGCTGGTTTAAGTGATTAACTGTAGAAAGTGATGACTAATCTGTCGGTTAAGAGTCTGAAACAATTGCAGTCAAATGAGATATTACAGGCAGCATTGTATGTAATGTGGCCCTCTGGATCCAATCAAGGGAACATTAATAGGAAGCAATTCCAAAGTTCTACTCCTCAATGTTAGATATTCATTTAAAAAAAGCATTACTCACAATTCATCATTCCCTTTAGAGAAATCAGTTTGTAGAATGTTTTGTATTTTGCCAACCAACATGCTTTGATAGGGAATACCATAAAATCGTCTAATTTTGCACATTCAGTCATATATTTTTATTTTCACATTAAAGGAAACTTTGATTCTATCATTCATCTAGGGATGGCTATGTCAGTCTGTCAGTTGGTCTGTTGGTTGGTCAGTCCAACGCTGTAATCCAGACAGAAACATCAAACAAATGACAGATGGATTGCCAAGTGGTTTCCCATAGGATTAAACCTGCTGGTGTCATGATTTTGGGTTTGGTTTGGTTGTTTCCTGTTTTTTTTGTAATTGTTCTCCTCTGTTTTCCCTCCAGTTTTGATTGCCTGCCTCGCCCTGATTATTTTCACCTTTGTCTTGTTATCCTCCCCCTCACCTGTGTGTTTGGTCGTTTCTTTGTTTCATTGTAAGTCTGTCATGTGTGAAGTGTTCAGCCTTTTCCCATTGTATGGACTACTACTTTTAGTTTATGGACTTTCTTTCTGCTTTGGATTACTGCCTCATGATGTAGTAAATTAATATTCCAACACCTTTTTGTTTATTAAATCATTTGAACTGTATACCCTAATCTATTTTACATACGGGTCACAATCCTCATGTTCAGTATTCAGTTTAAAATTGTGACTACTGGCTTTGGTGATCCCTGACTTTACCTTTCATCTGTCCCCACCAGCAGGTCGAGATTTTAACTTATCCAAGTATTTTTACACGTACTAGATGGATTGGTCGAGGTTACAGATACACATACAGATAGTCATGGTTCCCAGATGATGTGTCTTGATGATTTCGGTCATCCTCTAGCAGCGCCATGTAACATTTGTAGTTTTGAGCTAAATGTCTTGACAACTACTGTATTAGATGGATTGACATGAAATTTGGTGCAGAGATTCATGTCCCTCTCAAGATGATTTGCAATTGCACCAAAGATAAATAGTTACAGTGGTGGTAGCTTTCCAGAGTTGTATTATTTACCAAGTTTCAGAGAATACATGCCGAGTCTATTTTTGACAAGATCACAAAGAGCATCTGGTCAGTTTTCAAAATAAAACACCCTGTGCAGACTCTGATTGTAAAAACAGACAAAAAAAGAAACCTTTTAACTACATAACACTTACTCATAGTAGAAGCTCAAAAATCAAGGAAAAATTGCAATTAACTAAATATGAGCAGGTCAGCACAACTGGGCTGACAAATGCTCCACTTCCAAATTTCTCCCAGTGGGGTATGAAGCTGTGGAGTTGGAGGGTTGGAACAAAATGTCAGCACAGACGTGACGTCATAGACCTGTACCCGGTAGAATCATGACATTTTATCTGCTAAATATCAGCATCTTAGCATTGTTATTATGAGCATTTGAGCACCCTGACATTAGCGTTTAGTTCAAAGCAACACTGTCCATAAGTACAAACTCACATAGCCTCTAACATAGCTGTAGAGTTCCAGTCTCTTTTAGTAATAAAACAGCAAAGTGGATTCATGGTGGTTCATCTTTTCATCAATTTTTGGTTGCAGACGACAAAAACGAAAGATACCAAAAACTCTGTTGTTCACCGCAGCTCCCAGTTCAAGTCAAGATTGTCTAATCAAATGACCGACAGCAGTAACATCCTGTGAGTTTCTCAGCTTACCTCTCGAGCACTTAAGTTTGTACACTTTAAACATGCTAGCTTGAAGATTTATAGAGCTAGTAATACTGTAGTTCACCGATGAACAGGCCCCTAATTGCTTGCTGCCTGCCTGCATTGTGTTTTCTGTGTGTGTGTATGTGGGTATGAGTCAGATAAAATAAACCACATGGTGTGTGCGTGTGTGTGTGTGTGTGAGGAAGCTGAACAGAACCCTCTGCTCTCATTTACTATCTCCTTGTGTGGTTTGGCAGTAGCTCTGTTGGTATGGGGGCGTGTAACGGGCATCCGTCTGGGCGCGAGGCAGGCCTGGCATGCCGCTCAGCCCCCCGCAAGGCTGCATGAGGGTGGGATCAGAGCGGGAGTCTGCCAGGCTCCAGACTGGTAGTCTGTGTGGATGTGTGAGTCTGAGCATATGTGTGTTTTCTGGCGCGTGGATGCACTTCTGTGTGTGTGGGTGTAATTAAATCGTAATCACACAGGTTTACATAGCAACCACAGGTCTGCTATTGTTCTGCTTGTCACTTGCAATATGTTGCCCTTTCTTTATGTTGTTTCAACATTTATAACTATCACAGAGTCTGAGTCTGTATGTCCACCAAATCATTTCTGCACTGAATTAACACCAGACTATTTATTTGACCTTTGTGGTCATTATAATTGTGAGGTACAATGCAGCCATGCTGAAAGTAACACAATAGCATGCATACCACCATGGCTAGATGCCATACCTCCCCTCACTGGATAACAAGCAAAGTACAGCAGAACTGGGCTGGGACTGGTTAGCACTTGGACAGCAGACCACCCTTGGAAAATGAAATTGCCTCTGGAAGTGTTGTTTGTTAGAGGCCAGTGGAGGGCGTTACTCCCTTAACATCCCAGTATTTGGGCCTGCATGGTTGGTGACAGATATTAAGTGTTGGACTTAACAGCCCATTTCCCCATTTATCAAAGTGTAGTGCCTTCACATTCTCTCTCTGATTATAGAGATTGTATTGCATATTGTATGCAATAGCGGTTAAATGTATCCTGAGTCTACTGTTCATCCATAACACGCTATTTGACACTGACATTAAAAGTGAATGTGACAATACACAATAGTATCTGTAGGTAGTGTTTAATATAAGCACATAGTAACTACAGCATGAACAAATCCAGCGACGTCACATTTTTATTTTCCGTACAACGATCCTCAGTTGCAGCACATGCCACAGACATCGAGTTCGCAGCACCCGCAGCAATACCGGCATCTAATGGGACTCTGTCTGACGTTATATGGCATCTGTGTGAAAGAAAAGACATTAGAGCAAAGTGTTCTCCAGCATTAACACTTATTCTGTTTATTCAGTTTCATCCGAGAAGTATCAGGGCAGTTTGAAGGAAAAACCCACCCACTTTTGAATTAGTTTGTTAAAGGACTTATATAGTCAGTCGGCTGAACATACCATCCATGTTTCCACAGATGTCTCTTCTTGTGATGCACTGTCGTTGCTTATTGCCTCCTCCAGCTCTTTCAGCTGTTAATGAATAATTTGGAACATTTAGGAAGTTAGTATTTTCACAAAACACTCACAGCTAATAAGCAAATGAAATTACTTGAAGTCAAGTTGTTACCTCAGTGACTGGGACAGCAGAGCTCTCCTGAAGGCAAATGAAGGCGAGCACGACGGCCACTGCAACTACAACACTGAATGTCTTCATCTTAGGTTTGAGTGGATTAGTTTTCTTGTCTGATGGTTGAATGTGTAAAACCTGCTGGTATTTATACTCACTAAGGCCACTGTTGCCTCATCACTGACAGCACTTACTTGCATCACTCCCTGGGTGATGCTGGGAATGGTTATAGCAAAGTCCTGAGGAATAGGATGTTCTGTAATTTTGATTGTAGGGTTACAGTGTCATTATTGATTTTCTATAAACAGAATACACAGTTACATACATGAATACATGAATTTCCAAATATACCATATGGGAGAATGTACTGCTGATTTGAATTCAAAGAGATTTATTTAAAATATAATGTATGTATATTTTCAAGGAGAGACATGAGGTGCAAGATGGTCTGAAATAAAAGCTTTAAACACATAAATTAGTGATATTATAATTATCCAAATTGTTAACAAACACCCAACTATACTTTATTTACTGATCAAGATGGTCTTGCAATGTAAAAAAGATATTCAAACACAAAGTAAAATCAAGTAATCACTGATAATGTCAGGGGCCATTTTTTTATGGTAATTTCACTTGTTCCAAATATCTTGCGCAATAACCAAAATGCCCTGTCCCTCTGTCACATTGACTGATAACCTTCTGAACTGTATGATCACATCCGTGTCATCAAACAGTAGCATGGCTGCACATCTTGGAATACAGCTGACATAGAGCTATTTTTAATTTTGTGAATATGAATGAAAGTATAACATTCAGCATCTCTTAAAGCTACAATTTGAACTATTTAATGTTCTATCCAATCATGATGAACATTTGTGATTTTGTTTTAATAAGTTCCCTTAATATTCACTTAATCATTGTTTAATCATTGTCGTGTGTTAGGATGGAACAGAAGTCAATCTCTAGTTTCAACCCAACTGGTTGGTTTAGCCATTAAGCCTGCTAAGCTAAAGTTACCACTCCTTTAATCATGGATTTAAACTTTTTTAAACAGTAGGTATTATTACCTGGAGCAGTGTAGGCTAGGTAGCTTATACTGTATATAAGAAAAACAAAATCTGATTTATGTGTGACATTAATACTAAACCAGGAGATGCATTTGACACACCAGATAACTATAAGACAAAAACAATGGTAAAAGAACATGTTTACACATTATATATCAGTGAAATTG